CCAGTCCTGTGGTAGACATCCTGCCTTGTTCCAGTTCCAAAGAAAACTCGCCCATCAGTCTATGACGACTACAGATCGGTTGCCCTGACATCCCACATCATGAAGGTCCAGGAGAGACTCCTGTTGGTCCACCTGAATAAGCAAACTAGGACATATCAGGACCCACTGCAGTTTGCTTATCGCCATGGAGTTGGAGTTGAAGATGCCATCATCCAGCTGCTTCAACCAATCCACTGCCATCTGGACAAAGCAGGCAGCACTGTGAGGGTCATGTTCTTTGATTTCTCCAGTGCATTTAACACAATCCAGCCTGATGTACTTTGCTAGAAACTCCAGAAGACACAGGTGGGGGCCTCAACTATCGCCTGGATTAAAGAGTACCTGACAAACAGACCACAGTTTGTGAGGCTGAAGAACTGCACATCAAACCAGGCGATCAGTAACATTGGAGCACCACAGGGGACTGTACTCTCACCATTCCTTTTCACCCTGTACACCTCAGACTTCCAGTACAAATCAGAGACCTGTCATCTACAGAAATACTCAGATGACTCTGCAGTCGTCGGGTGTATCAGAGATGGTCAGAAAGCTGAGTACAGAGAGCTGGTGGAGCGCTTTGTGCCATGGTGTGGAAACAATCATCTGACCTTGAACATGAACAAAACAAAGGAGATGGTTTTAGACTTCAGAGGAAACAGGGTGGAGTCAAACACTGTTTCCATCATGGGAGAAGAAGTGGAGGTGGTTGAGGAATACAAATACCTTGGAGTTCACCAGGACAACAGACTGGACTGGAGAAAGAACAGCGAAGCCGTTTACAAGAAGGGGCACAGCAGACTGCACTTCTTGAGGACGCTTAGGTCCTTCAATGTCTGTAGCAAGATGCTGCAGATCTTCTACAAGTCTGTTGTTGAGTGTGTAATTTCTTCAGTCATCGTCTGTTTGCCTTGAGCATTCTCTTCACAAGACTTTCTGACTACGGAAGAGTGTCTTCTGTCAGAGGCTTCTTCAGTTTCGCTGCAACACTGACCGCTACTGGAGATCCTTCCTGCCAACAGCCATTGTAATATACAATAACTCTTTGATGGCTTGATTATTATTATTGTTATGAGCTACTACAGCAATCAATTTCCCTCTGGGATTAATAAAGTATATTTGAATTTAATTTGAATTTAATTGAATTGAAAAAACTATTTTTTTTTCTTGTTGTTGTGATGCCCCTTGTGATTTTTATCTTGAGAGGCGCTATATAAAAGATTGTTTTCTTTCTTCCTATTTGCCGAGATAAAACATCAACGTTGCAAAGCAAAAGGTGTGAATGATAGAGTCATTTTGCTGTTATCCAATCAGAGGCAAGATGTTAGAATATCAGGAAGTAAGATTCCATATTCTGCCGTCTTCTGCTCACCTGTCCTCTGGCTCCCTTTTAGTTCCAGAAACATGAGCACCAGAGCTTTTTTCCTGCAGAGATTGATTCATAAGGCATTAATCTATGTTATATTCATTTATATTAGAGAAAACTGCAGATTTGTTGCAAATGAGCTGACTTGGTCTTTAAAGGGGCATTACGGAAGTTTGACAGCCAAAACATGTATAGAAATAATAAATTTCTTCTTCATACATTCTCCTGCAATGCCCTGGTCCTGTAGAATGAGCCCTGGCATTTTTACTGTGATTGCCTGTTTTTCTGTAAAATCACAGAAAAAGAGAGATGCTCGGGACGAGCAGGCTGCTTCATGCGCGTTCACGCTCAGGCATCGCCCGTAGCATTTGCTATCAGTAGATTTAACAGCAGAAAGAGAGGCAGTGCCAACTCAGCGACTTTGTCGCTGTTCCTAACGCCTAGTGATGAACCTAGCTACATTTCTGAGGATCCTTAGCTACTTTCTTCTAGATATTTCCAGCAAATTAGCAACAAAATAGCCATTTTCGCTCCGAACCGTTCTTTGAACGTTGTTTTAGCTGTCATCAAAGATATAAAAGTTACAGATACAAAAGACATTACTGGCAGTGTAGCTCACCTATGTTGGACTCTTGTGCAGAATATCTGGGTTCGATTCTTGACGTGAATGTAATTTATGCATAGTTTATTTTTTACATTAGTGGTACATTTTTACAGTAAGATGCCCCAAATTTTATTTGAGACTCGCCGAGCGACTTTGAATTCACAGATAAAAAAGATGTGGGTTCAACTTTCATTTTTGAACAATTTTTCAAGCAAGGGAAGGGAAGCTCTGTGAAGCTGACGGACTGACCCATCTTAAACCTTTGTCGGCTGTGCTGAACATCGACATATGGTGCTGAAGTGAAAGGTACAGAACCAAAATATTTAATTAATTAGCTGCGCGTTCTCCTGTCCTCCGTCCTCCGGGCCACACACACACACACACACACACACACACACGGAGTTGACTGTCTCAGCTGTATTTTCGTTAAGGAGTGTGCATGTACAGCATGCGCGCCTCGTGCACGAGCCTACTATTGAAGCTGCCGTTACGTTTTTGGCCTGAGGGGGCAATTGCGAGCATAAAAATTCAAAACTCCGTTAAGTCCCTTTAAGGTGTCAATACTCTGTCTTCAGTAAATGCTATTTGCATATTTCATTTGCAAAATAATTTTTTTCTTTTCAACTTAAAGCAATTTTTTAAATGCGAAACTTAAACTAAATGAATAATTTTAAAGAAATCTCCTCATTATGGATGCTATTTTGTATATGACCTGATATTTTCATGCATTAACATTTTATGTCAAAACCTAAAAGGTACAAATAAATTGTAGATATTTTTATTTTTTATGCTATTTTCTGGAGCTGGTATTTATTTGTTATTTCATGAACAATATGCCAAAACCTTCTTGGCTGTCCTTTCAAATGTTTGTTGTAAAAAGCCGACTGGTCCACCATATTAATGGCCTAAGATAAGATTCACCCTGGCATTTTAAAGTCTCCTTGATGGATTGCAGCTGTATGTGTTTCACAAGAGCCTCCCATCATAAGCTCTTAAATCCAAGTAAAGTTGTTGCCTAATTCCCAGCAGTTCTGGTGCCTGAAAACCCAACATATGGACTTATCCAAAGCTAAACATGTTGTAAAATAGTAGTCTCACTCTGGATTCGGTCTCTTGTTTGGTGATTTATAACCCTACTCATGAGTCACCCCACTAAGGCATGCATGCTTCTAAGAGATAACACGAGTGTGTTACTAAAGCAGTTTAAAATGGCAATATGAGAAGTAACAGTATTCCATTTGATGCAAGGTTAGTAATAAAAACAAAGCAATCCTTGAAGGAACTCCGTCCATTTCAGAGTTTTAATTTGAGATCATTTTATGTTGCAAAATGATCATTTTTTCTCACTAACATCACTAAGTCTTGTGTGATTAGTTAGAGCTCAGGACGTGTGCCGTAAATGACTTTTACACACCAAATTTCAGCTCAATATCTGAGACTGTGACAGACTTTTCACCAATTATTGGCCAAGTTTGAAGTTGTTGAGTAGTGATGGGAACACTGCCTCTTTTAGGAGAACTGGTTCTTACGGCTCAGCTGATTAAAAAGAACCAGCTCTTTTGGCTCTCAAACGTAAGTGCAACAAGCTAACATGGCATCGCCATCATTTATAATTTGACGCTGGCTGGCAAAAAGCTCCAGAGTTGTTTAAAAAGCCGAATCCAGTAAACCGGAGTGACCCAGAAGTTATTTCTTGTACTGCTGAAGCCACGGCATCTTTTTGTTTTGCTCTGTGGAGCTGGCTAATGTTGAGCTAACAATGCTAACAATGAATTAGAAGCAAATAGTCAGCTCTAAAAATATCTCAAGCTAATTTTTTTACTCGATATTACAGTGAAGTGTATGTGTGAAGCGAATAATTGAGTCAATAGGTAGTCTCGACCTTCTACTTCCAAACCATGGGTCTTCGGAAAAACAAAAAAAAAATGTAACTCAATGGGGCTAAAAATACTATTTTCTAATCACATTTGTTATGTGCCATGGATTTCAAATGATGGTCTTGAATTTTAAAAACACATTTTGATACCAAGAACAAGCTTATTTTTCAAACGGGGCCAAGAGTTATTTAAGGTTTTATGTGAAAATATGTCCAGGACTACAAATGCGCATCACCAAAGTGACGTCATCAAATCAGACACGGAGAAAATCAAAGCAAAAATGGCTGTAAGTTTAGCAAACTTTGAATTTTTCCTTCAGAAGGAATGAACTACCGTAAATCTGGCCATGTGGTAAGTAGCAGCTACGCTAGAGCAGAGGAGATTCTGTGGTGATGTCATATTTGCGACGTGCCAATGTCTGATTTGTACTCAACTGAATCTCAAAGTATGTGAGGGGCGTTGTTGAAAAACACGTCATTGCTTTTCATTTAAACAGAAGTACAACACATGTGAGATTAAGAGCGTGAGGCAAAACGAAATAGAAAATAGCTCTTTTAGCCCCTTTGACTTGCATTCAATTTTTACGTTCTTCTAGGGACCCATAAGCCGACTGGAAAGGGAGGGGACTAACGCCTGGAACACATCAGACGTGGAAGCGCTACGATGCTTTGTGAAGCGCCGTGGAACAATGAGTGCTTCAATTCGGCGTCCTTGTTAACCTGCGCTCTCGGTCACATCAGCTGCAAAGCACCACGAAGGCTCGTGTCATGCAGCGATCTTTTCGGCGTGAGCTGTAATTTTTTTCGCGAGCCGTGAGTGAGCTGCGTCAATTCTGGCAGGAAGTCAAACCAAAACATGAATAAATAAAACTAAATAACGAAATTTTTCTAAATAAAACATTGCGATTGATAAATTTGATCATTTCTGTGTATCTAAACAGATTAGAGAGATGAAAATGAACAAAGACACACACACACACACACACACACACACACACACACAGCAAGGGCATATAGGGTGGTGTGTGTGTGTGTGTGGGGGGGGGGGGGTTGGAAAACAGTAGGCGTGAGCAGAAGCGCTCATTGGAAATTCTCGCCTGATGTAAACAGAGGAGCAACAGGCAGAGCGCAAATTTTGGGAGCGATCTGCTTCGCAGCTGGTGTGTTCTGGGTGTTAGGCTCCCTATGGTGGCTTTTTACTGCACTTCCTGTAATGTCAGGGGAATATTACCGTATTAAATGTAGTAAGTGCTCCCTACCATAAAACACCGAGTGCCAAAACCAGATAAAAGAAATGCATACTGTGTATGACTCTTTTGCTTGTCACCTAGAATCTTCTGGAGCTGATCCGTATTGGCAGCAGCCATGCAAGTAATTCTGTTGCTTAGGAAACTGAACTGTTGTTGCCTAATTTGACCACAGGATGTCATTCTTACACATTGCACCTTTAAGTAAAACTTTACAATCTGCCCCAACGAATGAAGGGACAAACTTAAACCATCTTTTGTTTCCAGTTGTGTTTTCAATAGTTTAATCCTGTCATCACTTTGCTCCAGGTTGCTGACAACAATCCGCTTAATTGACTGTGATGTAACAGCTACAAATAAAAGAGGAAGCTCCTCTGAAAGAGCCTTTTCCCCATGCAGAGCCTCCAAAAACTGGTTGTGACTTGTAATGCACCATTGATGTTGGTGAGAGAGGGAGGGACAGAGAGGGAGAGATAACACAGTAAACACTCAGCTCCTATGACAGAGCCGTTCCGCTTCATCATCTTCATCATCATCATGCAGTGAGCGCACGGTGAGAGGAGCCTGGAGGAGTCGCACCACCACCAGCCGGGTTGTGATCAGCTGTGGAGTTTGCGCAGCAGTGATGTTCCTCATCTGTTAGCTACGTGTGGAAACGGACACACACACACAGAGGGAGAGAAGGAGAGAGAGGAACCGGGGGGCAGAAACGCACCGGTTTGTTGTTGCTGACGCCGCGTCCACTGGACTGACATCGCATGGGGACATGAACAGTGTGGATCCAGCCTCTAACAAACTGTTGACTTTCAATCAGCGGTAAAAATTAATAATAATAACTAACTCAACCTTCTCATACCTGTGTGAATGCATCTGTTGCATGCCTGTCTCTGTCGGTAATCTGTCTGCAGCGCACCGGGAGCGGATTAAACACCTGCTCCGGTGCGCACAGCCTCAGTTGCGCGCAGAGAGCGTCGTTACGCAAATTATGTGACAGCTTCTGGAGTTTTATTAGTTCTTTTATATACAAAGTGAACGTTTTATTACCTTTTTTTACCGTCGGTGGATCCACAAGTCTCCAGTTAAAAGGGAACGACACTTAATGGTCTTAAATTCTGTTTTTAAAGCTTTATAGCAGCGCTGGTTGATTAAACTGATTTGTCCTTTTCCTCGGACAGGAGACAATGTGTCCACACGGAAAAAATATGAATTATTCATGCCATGCTTTTCAGTTCAAGGTGGGGGGTTGGGGTGCAGTCAGCCAGGTGTTACACCAAATTCTGAGACAATAAGGCGCTGAATTCAGGCATGGGGCTGAAAAGGTGCAGCTTTTACTTCCACTCCTCATCCTGATAATTCCAGCACTGCAGCTCAGGAAAGCTGGAAAACTAGACTGCAGTCAGAGTTAAACACACAGAGAGGCATTTTCCCGATGCTGTTAATGTTCATTCTTTAAAAACATTATGATTTAGATGATGTTTTGCCTTTTTTAAATTGAATTTCTCTCTTTAAAAGCTAAGTAATTTGTTGCACAGCGGTGGTGCATTGTACTTATTGAAAATACTCACGAGGGGACTAAAACAACTCTAATCTCAAAGCAATATGTTCCAACACTATTTTTAACAAGCCACTGTCAGTTTTGCACTGAATCCCATTTTACTTGCAGCAGCAGGGGCCTCCGGTGCAGCTCGGGGCATTTCCTGCAGTAATATCAATATTTCTGTCAGATTAATTGTGTCATGTGAAATGAAAAGTGGTGTAAAGGCTTCTAAAGTGCTGTGACCACCATGGTAGTTTACAGGTGTTGTACCAAGACAACAATCCACTTTGTGACACCAGTCAGCCTAGCTGTTAGCTCCTCAGTCTGGTGAAAACAACTGTCCCCTTCTGAGCATCATTTTGTAATCAAATGCATGGAACTTATGTTAATTAATGAATAATTTTTAATGTCACCCAACTACCACATAATCTTACCAATGTGTGGCTGCAGCATGATGACCTGAGCCTTTTGATCTGCTACAGAAACTCCACTTTCATCCAGCTAGCTAGAATTATCTCTGACATGTTTATTTGCCCTTTTATATGAGGTCTTCCGTTTTTTGTGGTCAGAAAATTTGAAAAAGAAATAAATATCAAACAAGCATTCTTACTTGTTGATGGCTGCAGGGACAAAGCATCAACTTCTCCTTCTTCTAGTTGTATTGCCCATGTTGACATTATCTGATTTTCTCTGGTGCAAACCATTCAGTAACCTGTATGTCTTAATGGAAATGTTGCAACCAGTTTCATATGTTTTGTGTTTGATCAGGCATTGTGTTAGAAAACCATTAAAATGATCTCAGGGTCAGCTGGTGGCTTTGGAACGTTTTGAATAGGGGTGGTCTAACCTGGTCCTCGAAGGCCGCTATCCAGTATGTTTTAGTGGTTTTCCTGCTCCAACACACCAGATTCCTGGATGAATTCCCTGTTCAGTAGCTCATTAGGCTGTGCAGCAGCCTGTTAATCACCAGCAGATACAAACCAGGTGCAGAGAAACAACTTAAAGCTGCTGGATAGCAGCCCTTAAGAACCAGAAGCTCATGATGAGCTTCAGCATAAGGGCCTCCACCTCTGCTGTGGTTTTTAAGGCAAGGCTAAAAACCTACTTTTATGATCTGTCTTTTAACCTTTCTAACTAGTTTTTACTGTTTTACTTATCACAATCTGTGTACTCAGTGTATTTTCATCTGTATCTTGTGATACAATGTTTTTATTTTCTGGACTTAATGTTTTATGTTTTTTACTTGATCAGTGTAGCACCTTGGTGGCATCTTTCTGCCTGTAAGGCGCTATTTACAAATAAAGTTGCGTTGAGTTGAGAATTGCCCACCCCTGGTTTAGAATCCCCTCCACTCCAGGTTCAGCCTCTTCTTTATAATGGAATGTGTGATTTAGACAGAAATGTGTTATTTGTAGCCTTTCTTGTACTCTGTACCATTTAGAAGCTGCTGGGTAATGAGGATCTATCTCACCGTCTTTGTGTTTCTGAACTGTTTGTCTTCGGTCGGAGCATTCAGAGTCACTTTTCTTTGGCCAACGTCCATTAGGCTGCCGGAAAGTAAATGTCTGGACACTTGACTGCAAAATTTCAAGTAGAAACCTGAGAGCAGCTTTGAATGGAGGATGATCAGTGTGAGTTATGTGCTATCTTCTAATGATGTGCAGCTTGTATTTAGCAACACCAGCTGATAACATGTTAACATGTGGAACTGGGATCTCTGTGTTGCAAAATGGTCCAATATTTAATATTTTGGCATTACAAAATTTGAACAGCTTATTTATGTGTTAAATGACTGTCAACAATTAATGAGATGATCAGAAGTGGGTGATTGTGCCTCTGCTTTAGCTTGTGAACAGATAGTGGGTGTGAAGCACCAAGAGGAGGAAGAGTAGCATTCTGCCTTAAGCATTGCATTGTTGGACACACACCTTTTGGCTTATTACTGCGCAAAAGCTGTTGTTGACTTTAGCATCCAGGAGAGCAGAGTGTGTCGAAGCTAATAGAAGCTAACCATTAGCATTAGCAGCTCCACAACATGGCAAAACTCCTTCAGGCTTGTGTTATTTGTGGAGATAAAACATCAACGTTGCCAAGTGAATGGAGGCAGTAAAAGAGTTGTGTTGCTGTTAGCCAATCAGAGGCAAGATGTCTGAATGTCAGAATATAGGGAGCCTAAGTCACGCCCACCAACTTCCAGACAATGGGTCCCCGGAAGAACGAAACAATGAATGCAAGTTAACGGGGCTAAACACGCTTTTTTCTAAATCTGCTTGTTTTGTGCCATGGATTTCACAAATGATGTCTGTGAATTTTAAAGATGCAGTTTGATACCAAGAACGTGCTTCATTTTGAACGAACCAGACATGGAGAAAACTGAGGGAAAAGGGCTATAAGTTCAACAAACTTCCCACAGGAGGAAAGAACTATCATAAATCTGGTCATTTAGTAGGGTTAGCCTGACAGCAGCAGTTCTACTCCATAGTGCTGCAGTCAGCTAAGAATAAACAGGACGGTGAGGACTTTTCGTCTGCTTGTAGAGTTTAGATGTTCATTGTTTCAGAAATCTCAAATACACAACTCCATTTCATATATCCATCTAAGTCTAAGTCTCTGGGCGACACCATATTAGATGCCATGTTTTCTTCTATGGGAGCCCTTGAGTTCAAAACACATTTACTGATTTGCAATAAACATTTACCTCGTCACTCATTGCCATTGATAAAAGGGAGTATCATGTGCTTGTCATTTTGCTGAAGTTTGCACTCCCCGGGCCTTTTTGACCCAAATGAGCATCCATTGGTAAGGTCTTACTCCAACACAAAAATAATGCTTGCTTGCAAAAATTTAGGTTTCTACTGCCCCCTATCGCCATGAAAAATACACACTGTCACTTTAATAATACTATTTTGGAGATCTGAAAGCTTGATTACACTCAGGGAAAATGAAATATAATTGTTTTTATTTTACTTGGAAAGTTTTAATTTATGCTAATCTACCATGCACATGTAATCCAGCTACCAGATGTTAAAACATGCATTTAGACTTTTTAACTATTTCCAGACATCCCAGAATCTGTCACACAGCTAAGACTAAGCTCGTTTACATTTACTTGCTTGACGTCTTGGTGACTGATTTGAGTGCACGAGGCATCTAAGCTCAGTTTATATTTACACACAGCGTGTCGGTGAGAATGATGTGTTTCACAAACAAACTACCTCCCACCTCATGTGCACGTGTGGCTCTGCAACTGCCTCTGTTCCCAGTTCAGACGGGTGTCAGCAGCAGATCAACTCCCACCCTCCGTCCTTCCTTTAACATCTGGCATTAACATGCTACTTTAAAGGAGTGTTAAGTTAATAACTAAAACATTTGCGTAAAAAAGTGTTTGCGTTTGAATCCCATCTGTTCAACCCACATCAGGCCATGCACCATGATCCCGAGCACACAAATACAGAAAAATCTAAAACTGAATGACTGGAAAAATAAGGAAATGACATTAAATAGCTTTTTCAGTGGCCCAGTTAGCCACCAGGCCTTAAGACCTTAAAAGAGTTTTAGAGATACCCATAAACCTCACTGAACCAGAGCAGCGTTGTGGTTATAATTCCACCACATCTACATGAGATTGATAAGGTCACACAGAAGACGATTACTTCAAGTCATTACCCTTTGAGGTTGCTCTGCAGACTGTTGAATAATCTCACCTCAGCTTTAATATTTCACATTTTGTTTATTTTGTAGTTGTTTTTGTCTCGTTTGTAGCCAGAGTCAAGAGCAGCTGAGGTTTGTTTATGTCCTGGAATATAAAACCTTGAAGCTGGGGTACATAGCGTGATGTCATCCCGAAGAGGAGGAGGAGATTTTGGCATTTGAGTGGCTGTAGTTCCTCCCCTTCTGGACGGAGCTGAAAGCCACTCCTCATACCAGAGATATGTGATTTTATTGACTTTTGTAAATGATCTGCCAGTGATGCATTTTATCAGTTTTATGTTTGTATTTTAGGGAGTTTCTCAAATGTCAACGTGCCTGGCCTCTCAAGGCGATGTCTTGCAAAGGCAGGCGGTCACGTAACATCATGTGACACAGGAGATAATGTTATATTTTATACATAAGTTTTAATATAAATATATAATGAGCCTTTTACTTTTTAAGTTGTGTAAATGTTTGTTATATAAGCGAGTTACTACCCGCTACCACCGAAGCTGCAACTACTAAACAACTAACCAACCACAGATTTGGATATAAAAAACATTTCAGGTATCAGCCCAATAGCTACAAC